CAAAATGCCACAATTTTTTAACTCGAGACCGAAACTATTTTATTTTGTTCGTTTTTTTTTTTTTGTTTTTCCCCGACAACAAAAATTTGTACATATATACGTGTCGTTTGAATTTTACAAATACGTAATAAAAAGAGAGGCGATAAAGCAAATAAAAAACGAAATAAAACCGATTAGTTGACCGATGAGTCACCCGATTTGTTTGTTCGTTTGCTCGAAAACAAACATTTTCGCGATTCAAAGAAAAATAATCAAAACTGACATTAACGCGTTTCGTTCATTTTATCTTCGAAATCAGTTAACGCGAATCGCTTCGAGTAATCGCATTTTGCGCAATCGAAAAAGCTATTCGAGCGGACTTTGTTATCTACCGAATGAAAAAAAAAAAGAATGCAACATCGCGGAGAGACATTCTCGGGAAGCGAACAAGTTTTCAACAACAAAAAAAAACACACACACACACAGAATATGATTAACGTAATTTGTCCGCGCGTATTCGGCATTGTAATTATCTGACGTTACGTTGCATTAATAATTCGTTATACATACAATGAGACAGAGTAAATCGGGGACAGTTTCCTGAGTCTCTCGCGACGTAACGAGTCACTTCCCATTCGACTATGCAATCAATTTCGCGTTGCATCGCGAACGAAACGAGTGGCATTGTGAAAAAAAAAAAATAAATAATAATAATAAAAAACAAAACGATCTCGATCGCGTCCGCGCGACACACACATTTTCGCATCGAAAAAGAAACGGCACATTTTCCAACGCGCGTCCGTATAATCAAGCGGGAAAAAAACAAATAGATGAATTAACAGGTATCGCGATATATCGCGCGCATTGCCGCGCGCGTCGCGATGCAACTTCGCAAAGTAAACTCTCTAAGATGAGTCTCCTCTCGGAGCAAATATATACTTTGCGCCTCAGAACAGATTCGTCGCAAACGATATGTTCCATCGTCTTTTTTTTTTTTTTTTTTTTTTTCTAAAAAACGGAGAGTTGTTTTATTTGCGAGTTGTGAGATGGTCGTTCGGATTGAGAAGAAAAAAAAAAGAAGCAGGAAATGTGACACACTCAAAAAATCGAGAGAAACACACACTTGTGTTAAAAAAAAAAAAAAACAAAATTCCAATCTATAAACTTTAATCTGCAAAAATTATACGAAATAGGAAAATTTAGGGAAATTGCATTGTTTGTATTTCTTCTTTGTTCGATTTGACCAAACAAATCGGCTGCATAATTTATTTTTCAAATCAATTATTTTGATTTCTTTTGCGAGACCTCGCGCGAAACTCCGCCAGAAGAACGCTATCACATGGCTTCCCCGCGTTCCTCAAGCCTTCTCGGCTAACGTGTAAGATTAGTCGCTTCACGCTCGCCTCGCCGCAAGCGGAGCGAAATCGAGCGTGTAAGGTTGGGTCTTCGCTCGCTCTCTCGGAGCGAGGGTTAGGTTGGAGAACGCGTCACGTGGTGCGCCACGGGGTCTAAACGAGGTTAATCGGCGGACCAGCGACAGCGTCGGCGCAATGACGACGAGCGCACGAACACACACGCTCACTGTCCTCCACGACACAACTCCTCTCGTCCTCTGTTCCTCTCTTTCCATCTGTTTCTCTCTCTTTCTCTCTCACTCTCTCCCGTTCGTCTCTCGCGTTCTCGCCCTTTGCACTTTGACCCTGGTTGGCAGTCGTGCGATCCGATAATAGGAAAAAGCGTCGAGTTCCTACACGGCGCGTTTGGTGTGCGCGCACACCAAAACCGTGTGTGTATGTGTGTGCGTGTGCGCGCGCGCGTGTTTGGCTGCCATAGCGCACTCGAAATTCAAATGCGATCTCGCAGTCTCGAATATTCAAACTCCCCGTGTGTGTGCAAGCGCATTATGCGCTCGCCGCTAGTCCGCGCTGTGGTAGCCGGCGCGATGATTTGCGCGAATTTTCAAGCATCGGGAATGTTTTTCGAAAACGATCGGAGCGCCAGCGACGCGAAGAGCATACATTTTTACGCGCTGCGCAACCGGCGAACACGCGCTAAGAATACGAAACGAGTCTATATAGTCTTCTCGGAAATCATTGTTGCGCGCGTTTTCCGCGAGTTCTCGGATGAAGAAACCGCAGAAGAGAAGAATTTGTCGTCGTCGTCGCGATCGAGGACAGAGGAAAAGAGCGTGGTGAGGGGGAAGTGCGCGGAGAACGTTCGGAATCGGCATGTATGTAGCCGAGGAGTCAAAGCCGCCGCGATCGTTCGACCGAAGCTTAAAGGTCGTGTGCGCACGTTTGCGCTTTACTGCGGTTAAAGCGGTTTAATTCGCGCCAGCGGCGACAAACCACTGGCGAACACCAAACACTTACCGATCAGCGGAAATATGCTGGGCTGGTCGAGCAGCGACTTGAGACTGTTTTCGACGAGAGTGGGAGAGGAGCGGTCCTTGTCACTCATTTCACGCACTGCGCCACGAAGCCTACAGCGCACACCTCGGGGCCTGTCGCGGCACACACGCGGAGACACACTCGACGGCACACACAGCGCGCACGAGTTAACAATAAAAAGAGAATAGAGAGAAGGCACAAGAGAGACGGAACGGAGCGAATGATCGGTGCGGAGCGGAACGGAGCGGTTGTGTCGCGCAAGAGCAGCCCGCGGCGATGCGGTTGCGACGCGGTTGTGTCGACGAGAACGGACACTCCGTGTGTGGCCGAAAGAACGGAGCCGGACAAATTGGATGAACGTACGAACGAACGAGCGAGCGAGCGAGCGAGCGAGTGACGAAGCAGCAGCTCAGATCGGAGAGAGGAGAAAAAGATAGGGTTTTGCGCCTAGATATTTATTCGCGACGGCAATACACACACACACACGCAATAGTCGCGTGCTTGGTGCGTGTGCGCTTTTGGATTACCGCGAGAGACGAGACGCGATCGAAAAAATTGCGAGATGGATTTTCCGTTTCGAATGCCGGTCTTCGCCGCACACCGCGGATCGGAGAGGCTTCGCCCGTGTCGTGTTGTGCCGAGAACCTCTCACCACGTCGTCGTCGTTGTCCGTCGTCGTCTTCGTCGTCGCCGTCGTCGTCGTCGTCGTCGTCGTCGTCGTCGTTGTCACGTTCCTCTCTCGCGCTGGCTTTATCCTCTGTCGAGCTTGCGTGAAACGCCCGTTTGGTGTACACGGCCGTAACGAAAAACCGCGGGGGCTATCCCGTTCCCTGTATGTACCCGCTCTTTCTAGGCGCGTTAAAATAAACGCGGAGCGCTGGCCCCCGTGGCTTGGCGATGCTCTTGAAAATCAATCTAAAAGTGGCTCGCCTCGTGGCGCGATCTCCTGGCCGACTGGTGGACCGAGTGCCGTTTTAAGCCTGCCGACGCCTGCCGCACTGATAACGAGCACCCGAGTGCTCGTGGCTTGCCTGCTCAGCGTTATCAGACTGTGCGCGCGCAACCGCGACCGCGCCTTCTCTCTCTCGCTCACGCGCGATCTCTTTCCCGCTCGCTGCGACCCCGCATTAACAACCCGCAGCACCGCGACGCCGCATCGCGCCAGAAAGCCGACGTCGACCGGCGCCGAATTGCGTTCGATCGCTCGACAGACCTTGGTCTTCTCTCTCTCTTTCTCTCTCTCTCTCTCTCTCTCTCTCTCTCTCTCGCTCTCGCTCTCTTTCTCCCTTTTCCCCTTTCTCTCATCTCATCTTTTTTACGTTTCGTGAAACGAACTGTCAAATAATTGACAGCGCTGTCGGCGTATTATCGCTATCAATAAAAAATGAGCGACTCTCTCTCTCTCTCTCTCTTGTAAAACAAATATAACAGCGTTCTGTGACATCAGAATCAGAGAAGAGTGTAGGCGCGTTCTGAGAGATATTGCATTGAGTAATAGAAGTTTTGTGACTCTGATAAAGTGAATCTTACTTGCAAGATTGTTCTCTCTGATCGCGTTATTTTATATAAAACTTTGAGAAACAATCCGAAACCTCTGAGCCAGACATTAATGTGCATATTAATAAATACACACAAACGTGATTGTTAACTAAATTACATTGCGCGTTCATGTCCACTTTATTCTCATTACCAAAAAGAGTTAAACAATCAATTAAATTTCAAAAAATTCTTTTTCCTACTGACGTTATGGCGTCTATTTGGCCGATTATTGATACGAAACTTTAGTATTATAACGTAACGTTAAAAAGACGTTACAGCATTCCACTTATTTGTGTGAGGAGAGTTTTAAATAATTATTTATTTATTACGTGAAAACAATTCAAATCTAAAACTTTTTTTAAGTTTTTTAATTGTACGCGAGAGCAAATCGATTGATTCGAATAGCGTTTCGACAGTTTACAAAAAGAATAATTTGTCTCGGCAGAAGAGTTATCGACGTAATGTGAAAAAGGCCTCGAGTGCTTTTCATTAATTCAAATCAGAGAGTTTTTACAGATAAGATAGTCGGAAGCTCCTAACGATTGATAAATCCTTTTATATACGATATTCACGTGTGCGTCTGGTTGCCGCGCGCACTTCTTTTCCGTTTTCCCGCCAGATGGCAACAGTGTGTCTCTTATCGCGAGTTTTTGTATAAAGCACTGTGTTCGGGATTTGTTTGGTTCTGTTCCGAGCTTGCTTAGACTTGGATATCGAATTTTTTAACGTTCGATTCTGCTTGTAAAGTTTTGTAATTTCGTACCGTTTTGCTTTGTAAACTCCAACTCGGCCGACAAACACTAAAAGTTGCGTTTAAATTTTGTCTCACACACAAAACAGCTACGATACGTAAAATACAATCTGTTGATTCGATCTTTCGAGAATCGCAACATCGCACTTCGATACATCTCGAGTTCACGTCACGTCAGTGGTTTCGAATCTGTCGCGATCGTCTTGCGAGCGACTTAGAAGTAAAAAATATGCAAACAGACGTTTTTTTTTCCGCAGAGATAAAGATAGCATGTGCATGTGTGTGTGTGTAGGATGGGAAACGAAAAAAAATCAAGACTGTGTTTGACATGTTAATCAGCTTTATTATACAATATAGTTGCGAATTGTGAAAATGACAAATTACGCACAATGAGAAAAATGCAGAGAACATTTTGTGTTTTCGTAAATTCTAGAACTAGAAATCTCAGATCGCGCTGTTTCGTTACGTCAAGAGATATGTGTGTGTGTGTGTATAACTGATCTTTTCACTATTTAAATTAAGTAATTAAAGCACGCAGTCGTATATTGTGTACTGGACAATTGTATATTGAGATTTGTGTGTGTTTTTTTTTATCAATTATATCGAGAAATTGGATAATACATATACGAAAATTGATCGTCACGCTGTAAGCTAAAAATAAATGCAAAATCAATCACAATGATTAGACACATGCGAATAATTCAATTTTAACAGTTGAAAATTAAAAAAAAAAAAGTTGCAAAAGATGCAAATCTCTTGTTAAAGTAAACAAGTGTAACTCATTAATACGTACAAAATATAACAGTTAGCGTTTTTTTTCTCAAATATTTCAATTAATCGATTAAAATAATATTGATTTTCGGTCGCGTGTGCATTTTCTTTTGTTGTTTTTTTGTTTCCGCATTTTATTACTCATTCAACAAATCGTCTTACATTAATTTATATGTAAATTACATATCGCCCACGATGCGATATAAATTATTAAAATTTTTCTCATTCTCGTTCGAATTCTGAATCAGATCAGCGTCGTCTCGACGTCTCTAATTAATGCATCTAATTTATTAAATATAATATAACTAATGACGTTTTTTTTTTTTTTTCGAATAAGAACAATCGACAATTATTGTGAATTCAACACGTCAAACGTCAGTCGAGCATGTCAGTCTAAATTTCTAATGAACAAAATTGAAACTAACAAATGTACGAGGTTATCGGCGACGCGCGCATGAACGAGCTAAGTGTGTGTGTGTGTGTGTGTGTTTCACACATCGGAAACAACAAAGTTCGCGAAGAAAATTACGAGCGAGATATGGCTGATTGCGATTGTCAAAAATGTGTGTATATAGGTAACAACTAGATATCGCTCGTACTATGTACTTATAGAATAGCCGCGTCATTTACAAAACTCTACTACTCACGCTCAGAGCAGTTTACGTTTACAGAGATGTTTTCTTTCGATTCGTTATTTTTTCTCTCCGTCGTGCTTGGCCTCCTCGCTTTCTGTCTTAACATTATTGCGATATTGCGTAATTTTTTTTTTCGCGCAAACATGTTAAAAACAGAAATTTTATATTTACAAAAGTCACTGATTAATTAAGTAAGAACGCTTCTCCATCTCGCGCTTCTTTCGTTTCTGTGAAATCGATCGCTTCGTTAATCCCGCGCGTTCGCGACCGGACTCGATTTATTTTACGAAGAGTCGGCGGTTATTAAAATTTCGATCGTTTGCGGTGGGATCGTATAGTTTTGTTTACTCGCACGATTCAAACCCAGCACACGCTGACGGACTCGGTCGCGGGTTGAGATGTACCGCCGAAGCTCGCTCGATGCTGCTTGAAGAGCGCTTGGATTTCCGCCGGTGTGGAGGACCATCGTCGATGTCTGGTTTTGTCCAGCGGCACCTCCGGCAGGCCCACCTCGGTGTGGCAGCCCTTGACGGGGGTGACCGACAGCGTCGTCGAGGAGGGCAAACCGACCTCCTGAAACGAGCTGATCGAGAAAAATCCACTCTCGCCCTCGGCGCTGCTCACCGGACTGCTGGCCGGTTTGATCTTCGTTTTTTGACCCGATCCCGATTCCTTCTTCTCCGTTCGTTTCGCGGTTCTGCTCAGTGTCGAATTCGGCGTTCCGGTCGATGTGGTTCCGTTCGACGGGACGGCGAGCGCGACGGTGTCCTCCTCCTCGGTCGTCTTGCCGCTGCTGCTGCTGGAATTCCAAGACGTTGTGTCGGGCGATCTTCTCACGCCCGGCACGAACGCCTGCAGATTTCGATTTAACTCGACACTGGACGACATTGGTTTGGCGAGACTGCTGTCGTTCTGCTGGCCGCCACTCGACTCGACGTTACCGCGACATCCGACATAGGCGCCGGCCTCCGTCAAGGTTGTCGAGTTCGCGAAATTACCGTTCGGCAGAGAGAGAGATGCGTCGTGATGACGATGGTGGTCCGCCGTCGGCGAGGTCGAGAAACCGCTGGTGTCCTCGATCCGCGCCAAATCGGGTTCTCGCATCGCCAGCAGGGACTCGATGGTCCTCAGTAATCTGAAAAATTATAATTGTCCGAAACGTTTAACAATTGTGAGAAATTATTAGCGAGAATTTTTGAATTGACACGCAATATTTGCGCGTCGCGCTTAGAGAGACATTGCAAATCGTTTGTTTTTACGCACCTAAACGCTTCCTGCGACAATTTCTCCGGCGGTATCTCGTCCGGATTCAATTCCGTTTGCTTGGGTTCTCGATAAACAATGTTGTCGATTGAACTGTCACTGCTCTTGCTGAGATCCTGTGGCGGCTTGGCGCGCGGCGACGTGCAGTGCACCGGGTCGTTTCGGCGCAAGACCGACCAGGTGAACTCGCGGAAACAAGTAACGCTCGGCGATCCGATCTGCGTGACCGATTTGGCTCGCGTGAACGGGGACGAAGTCGACGGGGACAGCGTCGCGGTGCCGCGACTCGGCGAGGGATCTGCGTGCACTACCGTGTGAACGCTGCGACTACGCGGCACGCGTCTCTTATCTTTGGGATTCTCCTTGGCGTGAAGGATCTCCAGGCTCCTGTGAGCCCGGCCCAAGAAATGAGCGACCTGTTCCATCGTGGAACGATACATCTGTCTGTTCGATTCGACCTGCGAACAAATCAAAGCGGATGTTTTTTTCGTGATTATCCGCGTTGACTGTCTTTTTTTTTTGTAGTAGATTTATTAATAAATAAGATAGTCCTACCACAGAAATATAACGTGTGTAAATAATCGCAATCGATTCTCTCGATATTGATTGTTGCCGCTTTTATCTTGAACGCTGATTGGACGTTTCTCGATTTATTATGTACGAATCAAGAGGCACGGTATATAGTGCCAAGTTCGCGCGCAACACGAAATCGTGTCTCTTATACGCGGAAATTCATGCGATTGAAAAGAGTGAGGAGATTTTCACGGAGCAATATCTCAAGAATGACTGAACCGCGATCAATTTCGTTTTAGTTCTCAATCAGAACAAAACAGTATAAAAAAAAGTATTCTTTTTTTTGTGCTTCTGATTTGGAGATATGCGACGAAATAAAATTTCGAAGTGAGAAATTCACGTTCTCAGAAACGTTATTTCTTTACGTGTTTTAAAAAATGTGATTAAAGTCACGTGAGACGAAGAAGAGAGGAAAAACAACACGCGACTCAAGTACAGTCACGTGAATTATTCGCGTGTTGTTTATCCTCTCCTCCCTGTCACGTGACTTTACTTTAATCAAAGTTGTTTCTCCAATTCTCTTTCTCACTATCTTTCGAGTTTGATTTTCATGAGGTATTTCTGACATCTCTCTAATGTGTATTATAAATATTATATGGTTTGTAAGACGCGTATATACTAGCTGTCATCGCGGCGACAGATTGTGTTCACTCACACAACACGTGTTAAAATAAAAATAACAATAGCGCGGCATGTTGTGTGCTAATAATAATAAAAATATTACTCTAATAATTAATAAAAAATATATATTAGTAATATTATTAATCAGAGTAATGAAACAATTTTACTATAACGGGAAAATACACTTTGACAATAATGTAATTTTTAATTATAAAAAAATGGACGCGAATAAATAATTTACTATTTATTATTCATAAATAATATTTAAACAAAGCGCGTGAGAAATCCGAAAAGATGCGACTCGATAGGTTGGGAATTTATACGGGTGGGTAAGATAATTGGAAAAGATTGAACGGCAGCGTGTGTGCGTGCACGTGAGTTCATTCATGAAATGATGATGGCCGAGCGGGAAAAATCGGGTCAACGAAAAGCGCGCGCGCGGATCATCGAAGGAGAAAACCAGCCTGATCGTATACGCCGACTTGTTACGTTTAACGCGATATCGAGTAACCGGAGCGAGGTAAACCGGTTGGCTTATCGGTCGCTACATTGCTCTCTTCTTCTTCTTCTTCTTCTTCTTCTTCTTCTTTCTTCTGCGGATTTTCAAGCATCGCGGGGACGATTACGAACCTGTTTGACCTGCCATTGGAGCGTGTCGACTCGCGCTTGGAGAAAAACGTTTTGCAGGAAGGCGCTCTGCAGCCTTCGGTTTTCCTTCCTCAACGACTGGCATTGCTGTAACAAGAAAATCCGGCTGTTACTTTGCGCGGATACCTCCGCGATCTTTCAGATCGCAATCGGTCGCGCGTTTTATTCGAGGAAGTCGTGGGATTTGCGCATCGTCGTACAAGAATAAAAAATAAAACGATCAATATTTACGAAAGAACGCAAATACGAAAGACAATACAAAGACAGTGTAAAAAAAAAAAAAAAAAACGGCATTTCTAAAAAGAAAAACAACGTTTCAGACGAATGCAAATCGTTCGGAAGCGGAATTTTTTGCCACGGATTTCCGCGCGAACTTTCTTCCTCCGAATACTTTTCCCTCTGACGTCTCTTTTCTCTTCTTTTTTTTTTTTTTTTTTTTTTTTTTTTCCGTATACGGCGCACAGCCTTTACTAGATCCCGAGCTCGAGGTGTTCTCGCGCGGATTCTATGGATTCGTTGACGTTACCTCTCGCCGCGCATTCCATCTTACTTCACCGATAAAAACTACTGTTGTAGCCGCGGTAATAATCCGTTCGGGCGA